TAGGCATACTCCTTCATGGTGCTGGCCATGGCTAATGACTAAAAGGGGTAAAAGAGAACTCTAAGGGGTACAGAGCAAAAACAATAGTAAATGTGTCCTTAACAGGTACAGGATTTCCTTTTGGGGCGATGAAACGTTCTGGAACTAGATCATGGTGATGTGAAGGTACTTAATGCCCTTGAATTGTACACTTTAAAATGGTTCAGATGGTAAATTTTGTTATGAGTAATTTAGAACAATAAAAAAAATTAATCTCAGACTTGGGGCAAGAGGCTTGTCTTAGTTTCTAAGTTCTTTATTTGTTTACTTTTCCCTCAGCCCTAGGGATAGCAGCCACTCTTTGCATTTACTATTTCTTTTTAATTTTTTTTTTTTGTGAGGAAGACAGGCCCTGAGCTAACATCTGTTGCCAATCTTCCCCTTTTTGCTAAAGGAAGATTGTCCCTGAGCTAACATCCATGCCAATCTGCCTCTATTTTGTACATGGGACACCACCAGAGCCTGGCTTGATGAGCGGTGTGTAGGTCCGTGCCAGAGATCCAAACCCGCGAACCCCAGGCCATGGAAGCGGAGCGTGGGAACTCAACCACTAGGCCACCAGGCTGGCCCCTTTAATTTTTTATTGTGTATAAACATAATGTAAAATTTACCATCTTAGCCATTTTAAAGTGTACAATTCAGTGGCATTAAGTACCTTCTCAATGTTGTGCGACCATCACAGTTTAGTTCCAGAACTTTTCATCATCCCAGAACGAAATCCTGTACCCATTAAGCACGCGTGTACTACTTCTTTTGCTCTGAGGAGAGAGTGTGGTTGTCATAGGAGCATGCTGCCTGCTGCTGTGGTGAAGAAACTCGCCTCTGCTGAGAGCAACAGCCACAACCAATACTGATTGGAGCTGTATTAGTCTCTGTATTACAGGGCTGCTGTAACCAAGTACCACAAACAGCGTGGCTTAAAACAACAGAAATTTACTCTCTCATAGTTCTAGAGGTTTTAAGTCTGAAGTCAAGGTGTTGGCAGGGTTGGTTCCTTCTGTGGCCTCTGAAGGAGAATCTGTTCCATGCCTTTCTCCTAGCTTCTGGTGTTTGCTAGCAATCCTTGGCATTCATTCCTTGGCTTGTGGTAGCATAACTCCAATTTCTGCCTCTGTCTTCACATGGTCATCTTCCCTGTGTGTGCGTCTGTTTTCTCTTCTTATAAGGACTTTAGTTCTTAGATTAGGGCCCACCCTTATCCAGTGTGACGGCATTTTAACTAATTACATCTGCAAAGACCCTATTTCCAAATAAGATCACATTCACAGATACTGGAGGTTATGATTTGAACATATCTTTTGGGGGAGACCCAATTCAACCCACAACAGAAGCCATCACCAATGCGGTGGCAAAGAAACTGGCGTTGAACAGGGAACCCTGCATATTGATCTGTTTACCTCAAGAAAAATATGTCCCTTTTTCCTTTTCCAGCCTTGCAGTGTTCCTCAAGCACCCTCTATTGGCAGAGTTTAACATCCAGCCAGCAGGCAACGAGGAAATGCAGCCTGCAGAGTACAGTTCCCCAGGGCAAAAAAACCGTTGGTTTCCAGCTCAGAGGCAATAAGTTAATAACAGCCACAGACCAAAGTTCTGTTTGCTTTGAAGTAAGTGTTTTCTACGCCAGTTTGATATTGACTACAAAGCTCTAAATCAACTGTGGGACTTTGACCTTGGAATGGAAGAGTCCAAGTAGAGGAGACACTTAGGCTAAGTCCTGTAGGATATAGGGGGTTGGTGGGCATCACAGTGGGGAGGGATGATATTTTAGTCAGAGGGACCAGGATGAGCAAAAGCAGATCGTGTGAGACCCTAAATTGTCACAGAATCCTGAAAGCCATCCTAAGGTATTCGAACTGTAATCTGGGGGTGAAGCTGGTTAAGAGTAACATGACCAAATTTCTAATGTAGAAAATTTCCTTACCTCAAGGCAGCATGGGAACTTCTTCCACTTGGCAAGGAGAGCTCCGAACAGGTAGCAATGAACTTCTATAAGAGGAGCTTGCATGGAGGAAGTGGATTGGGAAACGTGCATATCTGAAGAGCCTCATGGGAGACAAGGTTCAATGAGAATCATCACATGTTTCAAACATGGAAATGACATGATCTGTTCTGGAAATGGCTGGCATCTCAAACATAACATATTGTCACTGAGCAATGGGCTTGCTCTGCTCACCGAGATCTGAGCCAATTAATCACAATGAATTAGGGATCCAGAAAGGAAGCTTTAATTCGATTAGCTGGCATAATCGGAACACAGTTGACTAATGTCTCAAAAAACCCATCTTCAAGAATTATGGAATCTTGAGGTAGTTATATAGGGAAAATGGGCAGTAAGCAGGGGGTTTAGAAATGTTGGCCTTCAGGCATGTCAGACTCCAGGATCTTTCATTGTTCTTTTCTTCTGTCAGTGATGATGAATATCTTGTAGGTGTGTTTCCTGCCTCTGGTCAGCTTGTTCCTGGAAAGAAACTCATGGAACAAAGTTTTAATTTATCAAGCTATAGGGGAGTACATATGTAAGCAGATGCCATAAATCAGGAGAGCATGTGAATTATTTTAGAGTACGTGTAGAGCAGTGAGTAGTCACACAGAGGAGGGGCTGGGGTCATTTAGCACAACAAGATGGCCTCACTTATGTTCACTTACAATGTTAAACCAATGTATCGTCTTTTACAATAAGTCTGCTTTCTTTCTGTGTTTCTTATGTGAGAGAGGGCACCCGGTTGCCCAATCCAGAAACCTGGGCATTATCAAAATTCATTCTTCCCCTTCATTCCTCCAACCAATGACTAAATACTGCCCATTTTGCTTCATAAATGTGTCTCAACTTTTCTTCTTCCTCAGTCTACTACCTTGAAGTGGCACCTCTTGGTTGAACTCTTGTAACTGTCTTATAATGGTCTTCCCAACATCTCCCAACTCATTTTCTCAGGCAGAGTAATTGTTCCGAAATGCAAATCTGAAGATGTCACTTTACTAGTGACAAGAAGTTTTCACAGGCTGAGGTATACGGGGTAACTATTCTTGGTCTGAACTAAAAAGAGCCTGACCTACGGCCTCTCAAACATACATTGTACATCTGCTTTAACCATTGAGGTAAAGAACGTATTACACAGTATCTCAAGTAAAAGAATGCAGTCTTTGAAGATAAGGTTGCATACGATGCCAGCCAGCATCTGTAAAGCCAGTATCAGCACCCTTGCAGATACGTTTCCTTCCTCACTGCTGCCCCTGGCCCCAGTCAGGGTCATGTTGACCTGCTAATCTGCAACTGAATATCTCTTCAAAACGTTGACGTGTTTAGTGTGTGTTCTTTGTTCTAAAAAGGTATAAAACCGTACTGAAAACCATGCTTCTCCAGAGCCCTTTCTTCCTTTGTGAAGGCTGCTCTCTAGGGTTATAATCCTCCCGGGGTTATATATCAGCTTAGCTCAAGTAAAATTCACCTTCTCTCTCTCTTATCTACAGAATGGGTATTGGTTATTTGTGTTGACACTACTTAAACACTCCACACTGGCCCTCCATTGCTCTTAGGATAAAGAACAACTTCTTCGATACGGAATAAAATGACCCCTCACAATCTGCCTTTTTCCAGTTTCAGCCCCCCTACTCCTCATCCCCATCCCCAGTCATATGGACTGTCTTTTATTTCTTTAAAAGCTTCATGTTTTTTTCTTGCCTATGTCTCTTTTCTCTTCTTGGTACTCACTTCACAACTCCCTTACCCCAAACTCCTCCCTCACTCCCACCCCTCAAGTCATCCTCTATTTGTCCTTCAAAATCAGTTTAGATTTTAGTTCCTTCTGGAAGTGACCTAACAATTGACCCTGACTCCAATAATTTCAGGTTAGATGACTCTCCTACATGTTTCCATTAATTCTCTCTCTCTCTCATATATATCTACCTATCTTTATTTCACAGATATACACCATATATATATCTTTACCTTGCTTCATTTTCTTAAAAGAATTTATTATGTCTTAAAGCTTATTATTTGCTTGTTTATTGTCTGTCATCCTCCACCAGAATCTACGCTCCCTGAGATCAAGAACCTTGTCTACCTTGCTTGCCACTGTGTCCCCAGAGCCTACAACATAGCGAAGACTCAATAAATATTTACTGAGAAAATTACAGCTACAATTTTTTTTGAGGCAAAGTTCTTCACGTCGCTGTATAGTCTCATTTACTATTTGGGGCATAATTACACTCAAAAATTATTTGTTCTTTATCTGAAATCCAAATTTAACCGAGCAACCTGTATTTTTCTGGCAACCCTACCTCCAGAACACATTTGGCAGCATCTGGAGACACTTCTGATTGTCACGACTAGGGTGGTGCTACTGTTGGGCACACGTCTTGTCGCTGATAACCAGACGGCAAGAGAGCCAGACGACCCGTTGCCTCAGGGGAAGTCATGACGTCGAAAAGATCGCGCGTGAAGGGCACTGCGGCCGGTAAAACGCTCTGCACACACTGGTTAAGCGCGCCTCCGACACAGAGACATCCTTCAGGTCGGACTAAGGACAGCTCCTCCGGCCGCAGGGACTAGGAAGGCGTTCAGCGACACACCGGAAGCGGCCGGGCGGCTGCGGCGTCCTTCTCCCCGAGCAACGGCCGCGAAGGAAGCGGCTGTTGCCGCCGCGCCCCGTGCGCCTGCGCGGAGGCGCCGCCTGCTGACGTGGCGCTGGGCCGGGGCGGCGGAGCCCGGCGCGCCGCCGAGTGCGGGAGAGCGGCTGTGGTGGCCGAGCGGCGGCCGAGGCCGGGATTTACATCTGCAAAGACCCTATTTCCAAATAAGATCACATTCACAGATACTGGAGGTTATGATTTGAACATATCTTTTGGGGGAGACCCAATTCAA